CTCAGCTTATGGGTTAGTGCCCAGCCTTTAACCTTGCCCTTCTCTCCCCCAACACAAAACCCATGCTTGTCCCAGCTCCCTTCCCCACCCTCCCACACTGTTTTCACTTGTATACTTTCCCTTCCCCCCTTCCTTCTCTGCTCCCACATAGCTGTGTATATTTCCAACACCAGTCTGCTTTTACCGGTTCTCACAGTCTCTTCGCTTGCAGATTTCTTATATTTGCTTCAAACAGTACCACACGAAAGCAAAATTTAGTTAGACGATGCAGGGGAGTAGCCTGTACAACCATGAAACAGATAACAACAACAACAAAAAAGGTATTGTACATTGCATTTACTGCCAAAGAAGTAACGGGATGCTTTTAAGCCATTTAGAAAAGAACCGGGATGCCATCCTGCTACATCCTGCCCCACCTCAGGCCCTGATTACTAATTTTATAATGTCTAAGAAACATACAAATATTGTTTGATGAATGTACCATTTAGATATGATTTGTCTAACTTAGCTTCTGTGAATAGTAGCATATCCACCCTAAACAGGAAAATTAAGAAACTAGTTAAAGCTTCTTCTCATACTAGTTTCTTAGAAATTGATAATAATAGAAATTTATTTATGAACCATGGGTTCCACCAAAACAAATTAGGGAAACAACTGATGACATATCAGATAGCCTCTTTTCTCCAGGCTTTTCTGAACAGAAATCCTCAGCTCCCATAATTCTTGGTTGGCACAATGAGTCTCATGACAATAACACTCAAAGGTGTGAAGGTAACCAAGCAAAAGCTCCTATTAGGAACTCTAACCACAATAAAAAAATTACAGTAACTAGGTCACATGATTTTTATGGAAAATTTAAGTGTTAATCAACCAGTTGTGGTTAACACTATGAAAATTAATGCTAAAACACCCTATAATATCGTTCATGAGAATCTTAATCATTCTTTTAATAAATTATTATGTAATCACTATTGTAAAACGAACTTAACGATTCTTCATCAAAATATATGAGGAAATAAAAAAAAACTGATGAATTTTTAATTTCATTAGTCACAGATGTACCTCAAATTATTTGTCTTATCTGAACACCACCTTAGAATAGATGAAATAAGTAAAATAAATTTTAGTCAGTACACTGTAGGTGCTTTTTTCTGTACACAAACCCACAGTCATGGAGGAGTGTGTGTTTTTGTATATAACAATATCAAATTTCATGCCACTAATTTAGATCAATTTAACAGGGAAAAGGATCTTGAAATTTGTGGTTTGAAGCAAAACTTTGTGTCAAAAATTGTTATTGTTTTATGTATTTATAGATCCAACTGGTATTTTTTTCTATTTTTTAAAT